CTTTACCACAATGAAGGCTTTCACTTATCATTAAAATGGAAAACCTGCTCAGAACAGGGAAGGGGGATGTTGGTGGATCATTTTTTGATCCAATTTCATTTTACTCTCGGGAACAGATGATTATTTTCCTGTTAGGCTGACCCCAACAGGATTAGACTCGGTTATTTTTAAGAGAGTGCGAAGCAAACAAGCAAATCAATATTACTCCAAATCCAGCAGTGCTGATGCTGGAATCACTGGAGGAATCAGCTTTGGCGGAGTGATCAGAATGTCAGACACAGGACGTATCAGCAACACCTCTAGGGCTCAGCAGTTTCCCTATTCAACATTGTAGTTTCAACTCCTGGGAAAGTCAAGATCCACATCTTTTGTGCTGCAAATTAAAAAAAAAAAAAAAAAATCCATCATGCTTCTTTCATGTTCTCACTTCACTGGAAGTAGTACTGTGCCAAAATAAGACCCCAAAGAACATGTCTGTATTTCAGTTACTACGTCGTGATGCACTTCAGACATCTGGAGATGGAAGGCTGTATGTCGAACATTGATGACGTTGACGCGGTACAATCAAGGTCTTAGTTATTGTTGTTTCAGTGCTGTTGAGTCGGTTCCAACCCATAACGACCCTTAAAGGGTTTCCAAGAAGTGACTGGTGAGCTTGAACTGCTGACCTTGAGGTTCAAACTGACTTTGCAGTACAGCGCATTAACCCACAGCACCACATGTAATAATTTGTTTGTTCATAAGACCAGGAGCATCTGCTACAGAGTGTGGAAATAGTCACTGGCAGGATGAAAAGGCTCTGCAGATGTGTTTGGTTTGGCTCCTTTGTTGTTCAATGTGTTTTTAAATGAATGATGGTAGCAGACACTGTTAATACACAATCCACGTCCCATTTACCAGGATGACACACCTGGTGCTGGCAAAGGGTTCATACCTGCGCCCTTCTCTGGAACAATTCACTTGTGCCTGATGGGAGTTACCTTATACACTCTGAGCTGCCTGAGAGATGGTGCTCTCTTCCTGTTAAAAGGAAAATCTATGTTGTTATTGTCATTGAGTCGGTACCGACTCACAGCAAACCTATGCACAACAGAACAAAACACTGCCCATTCCTGCACCAACCTCACAACCCATCACTACATTTGAGCCCACTGATGCTGACACTGTGCCAATCCATCTACTTGGGGATCATTCACTTTTTCTCCGACCCTACACTTCACCAAACATGATATCCCTCTACAGAAACTGGTCCCTCCTTAATGTCTGAAATATCAGAGATGAAGTCTGGCTATCCTGGCTTCCAAGGAGCATTCTGGCTGTACATCTTTCAACATAGATTGGTTTATTCTTTTGGCAGTGTACTTTTAATACTCTCCTCCAACATAATTTCTCCTATGGTCTTCCTTATTCACTGTCCAACTTTCGCATGCATATGAGGTTATTGAAAATACCATGGCTTGGGTCAGGTGCACCTTAGTCCTCAAGCTGATATCTTTGCTCTTGAACACTTTAAAGAAGTTTTGTGTAGCAGATTTGCCTAATGTAATACGTCATTTAATTTCTTGACTGCTGCTTCCATAAGTGTTGATGGGTGATCTGAGAAAAATGAAGCCTTTGATGATTTCAATCTTTTCTCGATTTACAAGGATATTGCTTACTGGTCCAGTGGTAATACTGGTCCAGTGGTGAGGATTTTTGTCTTCTTTATATCAAGGTGTAACCCATACCAAAATATTTTAAGTCCTCTTCCCTTTCAGCAAGCAAGGTTGTATCATCTGCATATCACAATTTGTTAGTGATTCTTCCTCCAATCCTGATGCCATGTTTTTCTTCATATAATTCAGCTTTTCATATTATTTGATGAGCAAACAGATAGAATAGTGTGGTGAAAGAATACAATCCTGGCACACACTTTTGCTAATTTGAAACCATTCTGTGTTCCCTTGTTCTATTTGAACAACTGCCTCTTGGTCTATGTATAGGTTCCTCATGAGCACGATTAAGTGTTCCAGAATACTCATTCTCTGAAATGTTGTCCATAGTTTGTCATGATCTATACAATTGAAAGTCTTTGCATAGTCAATAAAGCACAGGTAAATATCTTTCTTGTATTCTCTGAAATCAACAATGATAGCCCTCATTCCATGTCCCCATCTGAGTCTGACTTGAACCGTTGGCAGTTCTGTCCATGTATGTTTGCAGCCATTTTTGGGTTTTAGTAAAATTTTACTTGTTTGAGATATTAATGATATTGTCCAATGATTTCTGCATTCTGGTGGGTCACCTCTCTTTGGAATGGGCACAAATATAGATCTCTTGCAGTCATTTGGCCAGGTCTTCCAAATTTCTTGGCAGAGATGAGTGAGTGGCTCCAGTGCGTCATCAATTTGTTGAAAGATTTCAATTTGTATTCCATCAATTCCCAGTGCCTTGTTCTTTGACAATAATTTCAATGCACTTTGGATTTCTTCCTTCAGTATCACTGACTCATGAAATGGTTGAACATAGACCAATTCTTTTTGGTACAGTGACTCTGTGTATTTCTTCCACCTTCTTTTGAGGTTTTCTGTATCTTTCTATATTTTGCC